CAACCCATCCTAGAGAGGAATGTGATTTTGTTTGCTTAAGAATTTTACTTGCTTAAGAATACACCCTCAAGCTGACCCCAAAAGGAGATTGCCCATCCTTCTCCCTCAAAGCAGCAGGTAGGTTCAAATTGCGTGCCTTCAGGATTGCAGTGCAGCTTCTTACCACTAGGCCGCCAGAGCTCCTGTTTCTGTACTAGTATATAATAAATGCATTATGTCTGTCAATCTTCAAACCTTTCCTACACTCTAAAACCCTCAAAACCATTGCCATTGAGGCATAAATAACTCAGAGCTGACCCTCCAGCTAGTTTTCTGAGGCAGTAAATCACACAAGTAGGAGCTTGTCCATCTTTCTCCTTCTGAGAGGCTGGTGGATTTGAACCTCCAGAGAAGTGTGACCTTTGAGTTGGAAGCCCAGCTCCACATTACTGCTAAAGTGGCTTAGCCCCTGTGCTCCAGGGCTACTAAGCAATATGCATAATAGCTATTACTATGTATATTGTAAAGGGTGCAGATCTTTATTGCGGTTTTCTTTTTTATTTATTCAACTACTGTGACTGTCTTCTTTCTGTCAGAATAAAAGTATTTACTTTTGTCTCTCTCAAAAAAAAAAAAAAAGAATACACCCTCACTCTGAACGAAGCCCTGGTGGTCTAGCCCATAGGGATCTGCACTGCTAACCTGAACGGTGAACCTCTCTGGTGGTTCAAATACACCAGAGGCTCCCCAGGAGAAAGACAGGCAATCTCTTCCTGCGCGATTTACAGCCTCAATTACAGAGGGCCAGCCATTAGATGGTTCCACGTCGATGGCAATGAGCACATGAGTAAAGAACACACCCTGCTCAGAAAACCTGGTCAAAAACAATTCTCAGAACAGACGCCTGCTCACAGGGCAGATTACCCAGTAAGCAAGGCAGCACCAGCTCACTTGGGCTTGCTTACATCATGGTCTCTGGTGAGTTGAGCCTGATTTCCCCATATGTGGAAATAGCTCACAGCACATGGAGAGAATATGTGAATTTATTCACAGTGGACTAGGAAGTAAACTATTCAGCCTGTATTTATCTTGCCTACTGTGTACTAGAGCCCTCTCAGGGATTGCATATTTGAAAAGAAGTTATGATTCTATAGGAAGGTGCTTTGGGGGAAAAGACAGAGAGAGAAAGATACCAGTCACACTTGGAAGTGTAGTCTTCAATGTGGCAAGTGAAAAATGTGAAGTCACTTGCAACAGTTTAGTTAACACAAGTAAGCCCGTGTTTACCTGCTTTATTGGGTAATCTGACACGGCTGCTCAAGACAAACCTTAGAAATACATTTGAAAGGTTCACCTTCCAATTATACAAGAAGGGCTTTGTGATTGTTTTGCAATCAGATGCACCCAACTGAAATAATTACTGAAATGGGGGGGAAAAACCCTGAGTAATATGCAATCTCCCATCAACCAATTTAACATTCATCCTGTTTTGTTACCGAAATGTCAACCAATTACTGAATTTTCATGGAAGTGCTCATATCATCTTCTAAAAATTCCCAGAACTGTCTCCTCCAATCACCTAGTTCTGAATCCAGTGTGCAGATTGTTTTGCTTCTCAATAAAAACTGTTGCTTTTTCATTTCAACCAAACTCTGCTGTTTTGCTTCTGTGACAAGATCCAAGAGGAAAGCAGTGTGACTCTTGACGGCCTCACTGACTGAATGGGCCGTTTATCCACTCATTCACTCAATAACACTCCCTATTAGGCATCCTAGACACCAGAACAAGAGAGTCTTGAGAGAGAGTGTCCGGCCTTGAGAACCCCACAGTCAGAGAGGAGATGACAAGAAAATAAATGTCACAGAGCTAAACCACAGTGCTGGGGAACTGATTTCAGAGGCAGATCACCAAGTCTTTCTCCCGAGCCCCTCTTACCTGATAGCTCTGTTGAAATCTGCACAGCATCACAGCAACATGCCAGCTTTCACTGACAAATTGGTGATGGCCGTGGACAAGGTCCAAGGGTTGGGAATCAAACTTGGTCTCAAGCCTGGAAGGCAAAGATTCTACCACCATCCAGTCCACACTGCTCTCGGGCAGGACCAGGCAGAGTTCCATTCTATTCGTTCATTGTGCGTGGAGTTATTTACCATGCCCTGAGATTGACCTAACACAACATGATTGGAAAGAGTGCTGGGTACACAGGGACTCACAAGAGCAATATCAAGCCCAGCCTGGTCAGGAGGATCCTAAGGAGATTTGCACTGAGTTGAGGTTTAAAGGAAAATTAAAGAAGCTCTAGTGGCCTCGTGGCAAGGAGTTGTGCTGTAATCCCAAAGGCACATGGTTTGAGGCCAGCAACTGCTCCTGAGATGCATGTTCTATTTTTCATGACAAGAGTCCAGAATGAAAGCTGCATAGTGGAGTTGGGGGACAGGGGAGAGGGTTGTATAACAATGAAAGATTATTTTTGTTTTTACTTTTCAAAGAGAAAAGTGAACTGGATGGGGGCAGGGAGGAAAGTGTGCAACAATGAATGAATGGAAATCCAAAGTCTCCGTAAACTTTCATAAAAATGAATTTTTTTTTAAAAAAAAAAGAGAAAACAAAGACAATGAAATGTTAGACAAAGGGGCTGAAGTCCTGCGACTCCCCTGCCTGCCCAGGGAGAAGACACCACAGAATCAGCTTCCCATCCCCTCACTACCCTCCAGAATAGAGGTCCCTGTGGGGCTAGGTGGACTGGAGTGCAAGCCGGGTCATTTGGTCCAAGCTTCACAGCTGTAAGTTCATGGTCATCGAGTCAGAACCAACTCATAGCGAACCCTCTAGAGGGTTTCCAAGGAGAGAGGAGCTAACCCACCGTTCTCCCGAGGTCATAAGCCTATCAGAGTTCATGGTACAGGAAAAGGCAAGGTTCGAATCTGTTGTTGATGGCATCGCTGTGAGTCGTAGTCAGCTCGACAGCACCTAACACCAACACAACTTCTGGGGAGAGGCTTCGAACCTCCGGAGGCGCGGGGAGAGGCTTCGAACCTCCGGAGGCGTGGGGAGAGGCTTCGAACCCCCGGAGGCGCGGCTTTGCGGTGGCAGCACAGCTCCCTACGGGCTCTGCCCCCAGAGCTCCCCTCACACCCCTGAAGCCGCTATATTTAGACCTTCTATATTAACTCCGGTTGAGATTCGGATGTTTAAAAATATTATTCATTAGATGTAAAGCCCTGAAATAAAACACAATTTTTGCAAGACTATCCGGCATTTTTTCCTTTCTCCCCCCTCCCTATCTTCCAAAGCCTAAAAATACTGAAAGTGGCCCAATTCTGTCTCGTTCTTGGCAAATATGTGCTATCGGTCTTAAATAAGGAAAGAGGGGCTGTGAGAAGTCACCCAACGCCAAAACATTCCTTGGCCGAGGCTCGCCACCCTGACCAGAGCCTCCAGACACCGAGGCCCGCCCCTGCCTGCCCTGCCCTCTGCCTTGCAAGATCCAGAACGGTCTCTGGCCCCCTCCTCGGAGGCAGCGGGGAGCTTCTGGGAACCCTTCCTCCCCACTGTTCCTCCCACTGCCACCTTCTCTGCAACAGAGTCCAGCCTCTGGGTCCTTGTCTTGTTTATCTTCAGGCACAGCTTTAAAAGACCCCCTCAGTCTTCCCCAGGAGGAGCTCTGACAAGGCCCATCAAGAGGATCCCCCCCGCAGCTCGAGCTGGGAGAGTCAGACCCCTGGGTCTTCTTCATGACAAATGGTCTCTTTGCAGTGTCACCACGAACCTGTCCCATCCACCTCCACAAGGCATGCAAGCAAGAACCAGCCTGTCGCTGGTGTGAGGTGGAGGGAGGCCAGACAGTAAGTGGGTGTGGGGTGTGGTAAGGTGGGGTGCAGAAGGGACCAGAGAGCAGGATGCCCCCCCCACACACACATTCCAAGGCTTTTGAGAGTAAAAGGACTGTCAGGTGTCAGTTAAATCCAGTCACAATAACCCAGTGGGGGAGGGGAGCAGTAAACAGGAGCCTGGGCAGCTTTAAGATCCCCTTTGGGGAAAAGACTGATGGGGACATGAGTGCAAAAAAAGGAGAAGGACCACAGACAGCAATGTGTGCAGCGCCCAGCTCATGCTCAGCAGAGATCCTTGGGAAACTGGATCAAAATGTCCTCAGGAAGCATGGCTACGTGGCCCCCAAGAAATTGAGAGGTCTCAAAGTAAGTGAACTGAGAGGAACCCTTGGGTACATCTGAGTCCCCTTGTTCTGATGTTCTCCTGAAAAATACAGCCTCGGAAGCATAATAGAAGGTCAGTGAGGAGTGGGCTCCAACTCCACCTCCATGTGGGGAAAACAGGTACAGCTCTGTGTTGGTCCATTGGACACTTGTCATCCTCACCAGAACCTGAAGGCGGACCTGTGACTGGACCATTGGCCACTGGAGCCAGGCTAAGCTAAGCCAGGCCTAAACCTAGAGCCACTCTTAAAGACAAGTAATTCAAGTTCTGACCCTGTAAAACTGAGGATGGGACCCTGGCCTGTGGTTCATGCCCAGGATGAAGGGCAACCCCAGGGCTTTGGGCTTCCCCAGGCCCTTCCAGTAGATCCGATCACCCAGCCTCTTCAACGTCCTTCTCTTTATAAACACAGGGCCTTTCTCTCTGTGGGTCAGGCATTGCCTACCCGACCCTACACTGCCAAGCCCTTACCTTCCATCCTCAGACTCAAGTGAGTCTTACCTCAAAATGTCCAGAAAGATCGAGAGTGAGAAAACAGGTAGTCAGGCCCCTGCCTGAGCTTAAAATGACCCCTTCCCTGATGCAAGTCTGTACCCAACAACTCTATCAGCATTGCCCAACACACCATTTAACAACCATGTCTCCTTCCCATAATGGTGCAGAGAGGTGGCCCCAATGAAGACAAGGGGAAATGGGCTTCACACAGACAAGCGTTTATTGACAGCCACCTGCCTGAAGATCTGGTGCATGTGTGTGCACGTGTATGCACGCACGCACACGTGTGTTTAGGGGCAGTGGTGCAATCAGACTGCCTTGGCCAGCCCCACACGGTTGTTGGCCCTGTCAAACACGCTGTAGTACTCCCGGATGAAGACGTCTCCCAGGATCCACTGTTGGGAGTTATTGTCACCCTGGAAGCCGCTGGTACAGAAACCCGGGTTCTGGGGAAGAAAGGTCCCAACCCCACTCAGTGTCAGACAACAGGCATCTCCCTACTCACTTTGATAATTCTAGAATTTATTCTTAAAATCACCTCCTAAGGGAAGCAAACCAATAGACGAAGAACTTGAGATTCAGAAGAATGTGACTTTATCTCAGATTGCCTTGTGAGGTCCTAGAGAGGAGAGGCCCATTGCTCTTTGCAGGGCCCCGCTCCCACCCACCTGTCTTCTTCAGCCCCTTGCCTCTCTGTCTCAGCAATACTGCCCACATGATCTGCCAGGGATGGACTGGAGGCTGAGGCAGCCTGCCCATCAGTTTTAGGTGAGATTTGGAGCCAGTGGGTCAGTGGGGAGGGAGCAGTAAATGTCCATAAAGTGCAAGCTTCCAAAGAAATTCTGGCCTTAGGGGCCTGAACAGTAGTTAGTGGTCCTTTCCTTTCCCTCCCTCCATCCCTGCTCACATCCAAGCTCTGTCCTTTCTCTTCCCCCATTTCTCCCAGCATGAGCTCATGGTGACCACCATAGCGCAGGGTCAGTGTGGCTCCATCTGAAAGGGTCAGTTGATCTGATTGGCTGTCCCTGCATCCTCCATCTAGTCCACATCACTTCCTTTCTTCTGGTGTCCCTGACCTGCCAGGATCCTGAACTAGAGTGAGAGAAGAGGCTGCCAGGACGAACCCCACGGCTTCCTCCTAGGAGACTCATACCTGCTGGTTGGTGTAGGCAGAGGGGGGCAGCGGGTACTGTCTGCCCTGGATCTCGAAGACCACCGTTGGCATGCTGCTCAGGCTCCCACAGTCGATGTCATACTAAACAGCCAAGGGAACAGCCTTTTAGAATGAAAATTGGATACTATCTGACCAAACAAGGCTCCACAGTTTTGACGGCAAGGAAGTGCCCCAAGATGGAACCCCTTTTCTCCGGGTGGCATTTGCCCAGGGGGTGAAGAAAGGGATCCTTTCTACTCAAAGAATCACAGCGAGGCTCTCAGACCAAGGCTGATTCAGGAGACATGGCCCTCACAGAGACAGAGATCTGCTGTCAGCCAACTCCAGGGCAAGTCCAGCAGTGAGACTAAGGGGTTGCCTTCAGGCCCAGCTTGAGCTTTCAAGGGCACCAGAGAGCACTCACTCAGCTGTCAGAGTGGAGGGGCTGGACTTACAGATGGAGAAGAACCAGGAGCACAGCAGCGTTCAGCGACACAGACAGCAAAGAGAAAGAAGACTCTCCCCAGGACCAGGGAACCAAGGCAGCTCCACCAACCACAGTGGCCTTTCCAAAGGACTCACGAGAAATCTCACCTCCCTCACCATTTCTCTCTCTCATTCTTCCAGGGAACTAAGGGGCCCCCTCTTCAGGAGATCTGGGGAGGTAGGGTGGGTCCTGGGCTCACCTGGCCATATTGACCTTGTGTGGCTCCAATAACCTTCTGGATATTGAGGATGTCACTGGCTGGTCCAGCCAGCAGGGAGGTACCTGTGTCCAGGATGGCCTGACAGCCACCATAACAGGCCACCACCACGCCGTCCACAGTGATGCTGCAGAGAGAAAGGAGACAGCCGGAAGGTATATCCAGTCACCCCTCCCTGGGTGCTTTCCACTCCCTACTGTAGAACCTGATTCCTGGGGCCCCTTCCTGGAGCCCATGTAACTTCCTGAGCTCAAAGAAAAGCCCTAAAATTATGTCTTTTCCCAACTCAGAGGCCAAATCAAGACAGTTT